CCCCCCTTGACAAGGCAGCAACTTTAGAATCAAAGATGCTGTAATCACATCATCGTCTCGCCAAATCCTTTTAATGTTTCCCAGCGATCAGGCTCTGGCCCTTTAACAGTCTGAATCCTCATCCCTGGTTAATAATCCCCTCTCTTACAGGCCAATTTTGTTAATTAAATGTTTTGTTTGCGATGCAGCTCTCATTCAGTTTGGACACGTCATTCTGAGCAGATCTAAGCCAGGGCCCAGATCTCATTAGATAAAACCTATCAGGACTAAAAGAAAATGGAGGAGTCACTAATTAAAGCTTTTAATTGTGTGTATTCACTGTCAGCCTGTTTTATCTCGAATCTGCGATTGTGAGCTGCATGTCAGTCTCCCACCAAAAGCACTTTCATTAATGGAAGCGGTGGATTTGCCACCCCCCCTTCCATCACCACACTCAAACCCAAAGGGGAGAGCAGAAGCACTTTGTTTGGACTCGCTCAGAAGGTGCATTTCAAAGACAATCATATCTTTCCATCAAACTCCTTAAAGACATTTCTGGCCACATCTTTACCTTCGTACTTGGCCACATTGCCAGCTACCGTTAAAAGCCAAAAACATCCAATTTAAAAGTTTGATCCCTAATGTTATCAGTATCAGAGGCACCGTTTTAAATGTAGCTTGGATGAAACCTCATTAATAAAATATTACTTTGTTTTAATGCCATAGCAATACAAACTAGATAATAACTAAGGGATTGGTTAAATACCTGTTACATACCATCTTAGATATTTGTGGTCAACCCAATGACACATCTGAACTTAACACCTTCATCTTAATAGCTGTCAAGACAAGATTTGAAGGCACGCATCGAGTTATGGAGAATAACCACACAACAAAATAGCTGTGCTTTAAACAGGTTCCTCAAAATCCTGGCACTCACCTATGTACAGGTGAAGTCAGGGCTGGACAAAACCCAGGAGCCAGGTTGCCAATTGCTCCTTAAAAATGTAACAGCTGCCACCTAACTTTTGAGGTTTTTCTTTAGTTGTCAATGGAACTGGCTCTTAAAGAAAAAAAAAAAAGAAGATCCTGCTGGCTCCTGAATTCCATTCATTTGTTCACCCCTAGGTTAAGTTTTTATTATTGCCTGGAATCTAAGAGAACCGTAATTAGCAACAAACTGCTTCCAACTTGTTGTTAATGACCGGTAGCCCACACAACATCTGGACAATGGTGTCCACTTTTACACTTTCCACAAATGGCCCTCTTCCTCATGTTCCACCCCATTTCTTTTCAAATTCTGTCAGGCTCAGAGTAGTTTCTCTAGCTGCAACAGGAATGTAAAGGATGGGAACCGTTTTGCTGAACTACGTGCCGGTTTTCGAACATTTAAGGCTAAAAAAACACTTAGTGAAATGAATGTTGCAATCCCTCAATGGCCTTTTCACTGAGAATATTACTTCTATTTAGCTGATTGAAGACATCAGGGTTCTGTAGAGGACATAGGTTATATTATTTGGACTCTATCATTTTAGCACTAAATCTGTTCTAAAGGGGCATTACATTTAACCTGGGTCATAGATAAATTTCCTTACCAGGAGTAAAGAGTAGAGCCATTACTAACAAAAGGGGGAAAAAAGTGCATTAACCCAGTGCATTACGTACTAGTACAAGATATATAATAAAACATTTTTTTATTCTCTTAGTGCTTTTATTTAATGCGCTAATGGCTTGGTTAAGGTAATCTTTAACAAAACGTATCTGGAAGTACAGGGCATCCAGGTGCATCAGTGTATTAAACCGTTCACTTAAATTAAATATGTAATCCTTCAAATGCTTTTCTGTGTAATGACTTAAGAAGCTTGGTTTCACCTGGACGGATCAAGCCAGCACACCATTCCTTATCAATTCCCGTCTTTAAAATGACATTAGAAAGTATGATGGACATGCAATTAATCTTTGCTCACACCTTGCGCAATTAATGGGTTATTACTTTGGATGATTGCATCCAGAAGTCAGGAAATGGATCATTTTCTGCAGGAAGGGAATGCAAAAAGATGCCCAAACTAGTGCTGGTAATTAGAACATTCAGCATGTTTGGTCATGTGTGAAGTGGAAACTATGCATAGATAAAATCATTCAATATTTACACACGTTTCTTCAGGAATATCAACTCAAGATGTCATTACAATCTGATCTGGCTCACAAGTTAGTTGCACCCCTATGTGCAATCACTTTTTTTTTTTTTTTTTAAGAGACACCTATATGGTTGGACGGGTTAGATTTGAGGCATACTTGCCATCATGGGATATCGTAGCCATTTTGAATTGGTTTATACAAAATCGAGAAAAAAACAAAGTGAAAAAGACACAAACCTGATGTAGTCATTTCTGCACAGGATCATCCCACTTTTTGTGTAGCACGAGGTACCAATTTCCCCAAGTTGAGCTTGACAGCACGAGCACTTCAGACACCTACTGTGCCAGTAGCTGTCCATGGCATAGAGCAGAAACCGGTCTGCGATCTTGCCTCCGCATCCGGCACATCTTTTCCAGGAGAGGGTGCTAGCGGTCACTGGGGGTGGCTGGGCACTACTACCTGGGTTCACCATGATCTAAGAGGAGAGAGAAGCACAAAGTGGAAGGGAGAAAAAAAAAAAAAAAAAGAATTACTGAGGAGTTCTTTCAACCTTCTACAGTAGCAAATCTTTGGACCAACCTAACGATAGAGACAGCCAAGGGCTAGTTTATTTTGTTTGGGGTCAGTGAGTTCCCTTGAAGTGCCACCCACCAGATATCACTTTACCCTGCTGTCTAAAGTTGTGGAGACCCAAGCAGGATCCCGAGTTTAAAACACTCCCCTTTAAAATGACAAAAAGGTTGATGACGACACACCAAGACAACATTTTTTTTATAAAAAAGAAAAGTTTCCGAAAGATTAAAGTAATGGATAATTAGCGGAACTAGACAACAATTGTATTGGTTTACTTAAAGTGGGAGGATTAAAGTGCAAGCTATGGAAAGCGTTCAAGTCTTTTCCGTAGGCATGACCTCTCAAAGCCCAAACTACAGTAATTTAAGAAATCTATCACCATTCAAGCAGAGAATGGGGTAAAAACTCGTCAGACCGGTTTTTCATCTATATGCCACTTTTTTTTTTTCTTATGGCAGCAGTTATAATCAATTTTCTATTATTGCTGATCAGCAGAAATCTCATTTGATTTCAAGGGAAAGGGGGGGGTGATCAATGAATGTTGCTTTGCAATTTGGGACAAACAAACAGAGCTGAACTTTAGGAAGCCCTGTTAACAGCCTATACAAACATGACACTTTTGTCTCACTAATCTGTCCTTGATCAGCAATTTAAATGCAATGAATCTACACCTTCAAAAGGGGCTTCTATTTACAGATAAGTCAGGAAAGAAACATCTGACTGTCAACACAACTGCAGAATGCAGAGCACCACTAACAGTACACAGTGTAGACCAACAGTGAGGGAACTCATTTCGCCGTTGTCAATGTGGCTTAAATTGGCCGATTGTCAAACCATACTTGTTCATTTTGAAGAAACACTAGATGGCTTAACACAGGGGTGGACAAATGAATATGAAATTCAGGAGGCATCAGATTTTATTTTTAGGAGCAACAACCAGAAAAACCATTTAAAAAGGTTAGGGGCCAAAATGTCTACCTGTCTCATAGAATTTGTCTAGCCCTTGCTTTATACATCTATAGACTAGGGTAACATAGTGCTTTAGACCAGGGCTGGACAAATCCCAGGAGCCAGGTAGCTTCTTAAGATTTAAGCTGGCACCTAACTTTTGAGGGTTTCTCTAGTAGTTGTCCATGGAGCTGGCTCCACGATTGGACAGACTGGCTCCTAAATTCCATATTCATTTGTCCCCCCCTTCCTTAAACAGTGCTAAATGTTATTATAGCTCCTGGAAAAAACCAACCTGGACAGACTGGCTCCTACATTGCATATTCAGTTGCCCCCTCCACCAACCACCCCCCCCTCTTCCTTAAATATTATAGCTCCTGAAAAAGACCCACCTGGCTACCATGCTCCTGACTTGCAAAATCTCCACAGTTCTCCCTAACAACATGCAGGTGGTCTAACCCACATGATGCATCTAAAACATGAAGGTTGGACTTGCTGCATTACCTTCTTGACAGGAAACTGAGCAAGCCCTTTCAAAAGAAGATCTGCAGCAGCATGTCATCCTGAGGGAACGAACTAATGCATTTTCTAATCAAGCTTTGGCATAATGCGATAATGGCTTTATAGCAATCCAGTAAGGCTTCAAGCCCTCCTGCCTTGGTGGCTTTAGCCACATGCAATCATCAGACACACACATCCCACCAGAACACAAAGTTTGCAGACAGTCTGAAGTTGGTGGCAGCAGTTACCAGCCACTGTTTGCAGAGGACAGTAAATAAAACCACATAATCTGCCATAATCAGAACTGTGCCTATTAAGCTGTAACAAAACACTAGGACTTGGGAAACGGAACCACTCTAAAAGCCATTATCTTCGTGTACCCAAATGCATCGTACCTTTATGTAAATTGATTTTTATCTGATGCATTACTCAACAAATGGCTTTTGGTAACATTTTCATCTACAACCTCTAAATGAATCCGCATTTCCTGCCTAGAATCTACCAAATGTTTCCATTTTTTATTTCTCTTTTTCGCCCAAACACTCCCACCGGTCATTTCGAATTTCTTTCGAGGACGACCGCCTAACCTGTCCCGATCCCGGTAGAACGTTGAATTAAAGAAAAATGATAAAAGAAACATGACACTGTGCCAGGCATCCAGTAACCACATTAAGTAAAGCTCTTAAAGACAAGCAATACCTTAATGCTGATTAAATCTACTAGAGATGAATCCTGCTGAAGTGACCAGAAAGGACTCTCAAGATAACTTATAGGGAGGGCTCTCATCAAGTTTCATTGCAGTTGAGGAAATAAAAACCTTTTAACTTTAATAGAGCTGCTACATAAATTATATAGCCAGGCAATTTAGAGAATGTAAGGGGGGGGCCAGCAGTGTAAGAGCCAGCAGTGGCAGCTAGAGGCAGAGGCAAAGTCTTTCATTTCACAGAGATCTCCGTAGAGGGGAGGAGGGTCGTTTGTAACACCAAAAAAAACAAAAAACTAGATTCTTAATTCAAGGCTGCGTTTTAATTAGGCAAGTCACTAGATTTCATTCCATAGGAAACATAAAAGGAGGAAAGGGAGGGGGGTGGGATATCGTCCAGGGAAGCTGATTATCTGCATGAGGGTTCTGCTCCATAATCAGAAGTGCTAGGAGTTCCAGTACAGAGACTGCAGGGGGAAGCAAGAGAGCGAGGCTTAAGGGGCCAATCTGACCGGCCGCAGCTCGGCTTACTGGATTTCCAGGGACACTGTGCTCGGGAAACACAGGCTAGTGATTACTGTCTGATGCATCCCAATTGTGACATGTTTACTAATACTGCCCTTTAAAAAGTAAACAGATGACTGGAAATGAAGCAAGCAGAGAAGAGGGATCTTATGGCAGGGCTTATGGCAAGATCCATTGGGCCCCGGGCAGCGTTCAGACGGATCATGCATACGTGTACATGGGAAGCTTTGGATTGCTTCTGACATAGATAGAAGCCCGCTGTTTGTGATTATACATGACACATGCCATGGTGGCAGATCCTATGAAAAGAACACTTCCAGGGAGTGTGTATACAGCTCAGTGCTTAGCAGGGTCCCCCGCTTCAAATCCAGGTTACTATCTGCATGGAGTTTCCCTGTGCTTACTCCAGCTTCTTCCCACACTCCACAGGCATTTCCTATCTAAATCATCCCTAGTGTGTAAGATAGGGACCTTAGATTGCAAGCTCTTGGGGCCAGGGATTGATGTGAATGAATAGAAGGGGTGATATAAAGAAGGCTGATGGGAAGAAGCTTGCCACGGCTGACTTGGAAATAAGTCTTAATAGACTTGCAAAGTAAAAAGAAATAATGCTGAGCATCATGGAGCCCCCCTAGAGTCCGGGGCCCCTGGCAGCTGCCCATTCCGCCCTTGGCTGTCACTGTCCCTGGACAACAGGCACGGTGATGATGCTCCATACACAGCCGGGCTTACCTCTCCCTCCTGGGCAGCGGCGCCGATCGCAGGGAGTGACACTACTTTCACACGTCCACTTGTAGTTGCCGCAGACACAGCGGCCGTGCGATCCCAGCTAGTCCCTTCCAAGGCGCACAGATCCTCGGCTCTACACAGCCGCAAGTTGTCCGGGAGGTGGGATGAAGTCCCGGGGTTCCGACAGTGCACACAAGTCCTGCGGGCAGTCCAGCCGTGCGCACACAGATCGCAGACAGAAGCCGATGGGAGGCCCGGTACCGATGCTGCTTCTTCGTGTGAGATCTCCGCTCTCTCTACCCTGACATGTGTTACTGACGGAGCAAAACCCAACGCTGCTTCCCAGCTGGCCCCGCCCAGTCCAATCCCGTCTCTGATTGCTCAGGCGGAATCACAAAATGAGCCAAGGGAAGGCCAGTGCCTGGAACGGTGGGCGGAGCTGGAGGCGGGCTCTGGGATGATTGACAGGTCAGGTGGAAGCGCCTCGCTGTGTTTTTCTCTGTGGCTGTGTTTAGTAAAGTCCTTCTAATTGAGAGTGTGATGAAGATCCACTCCCGAGAGCACATCCACCTAGCTTCTGGCAATGACAGTACAGCCGAGTCACCAATGACCTGTCAGGAGAGACAGATGGGACCCAGAGAGGCTACAAAATGTCAATTGCCTGGCTCATATAATAATATATATTCTCTTATAATAAACGGAGAATGTAGATGAAGCTTCAGTTCTAAAAACCGAGCTGAAGCCAAAACCCTGTTTTGGATGGAGTAAGGGAAGGTATAAGCCCTGTTAGCTTATTTTCTGCACTCTGTGTTCCATTGGGGAGATTTCCCTTCACTTTCCTGTCTGATAGGAAGTGCAGGAAGTGAGAGGAAAATGGCATTATCGCGCATGCAGGTGACATTGCTCCAGTCATTTTGGTGTCACCCCTCCAATGGTGGCACCCCCCTTGTGACGCCACTGAGAGGAAACCCCTGCAAAGTGAGCATTGACCCTGAAGATCAGCAGGGTCACCAGAACTTATGTCCCTATTGGAGGATGTTCCCTCTATTCCTGTTCTGATGACAACCCAAAATGTGGGATCTCCTCTCACTTTAAGTGATAACGGTCACCAGAACAAATAGGTTGAATCTCCCTAATAGGGACACAGACAGCAATAGAAAAACAGTGCTTTGAGGACTTAGAACAGGTGTTCTAACCCTTCACTATATCCAAAACTAAAATAAAGTTTGGGCTTCAGTTGCACGTTAAATCCCCTGGCAATTCAATGAAAGTTGTGTCACTTATTAAATCAGACCTGTCATGAGAGACTTTTGCCTCTGTGCAGGAATGTTCTGTAATAAAGACCAGTCACTACTGCTCTCTCTCCCTGTGCAGGGTGACTGGTCTTGTATCCGCCCCCTCCTGTAGTTTTCTGCACGCAGCTTGTAGTGGGTGGGGCCTACTGGGTTCCTCCCACAGCTCTGCTCTCTCCACTGGTTATGTGCAGCACAGTGATGGTGTCACTACTACTTTAACAAGGTTACACCTGGGTTTACATACACATTTGGTGCTCACAATGTGGATTTGTATCCTTTGTGGCTATTGAGGAATATATTAAAATTAAAGTATTTGTGCCCGGAGTCCAGCTTTAAAGCCAAGTTAAAGTCTGTATTTAAAAATTTACTTGAAAGTAAGGATCTAAGAGGTAGGGATTTTGGGCAGAAGAGACATGCAGAGGCTCTTCTGCCAAAAAATCTCTGCCTCTTTCCCCTAGCAGTTCTTTTATTTCCTGTGTACAGCTTCCGTCAGTGCACACTCTTGGCTCGTTCCTGGCAGCTGAAGGCTGGTTCACACGATGGTGTAACTTCTGTGCGCATGTGCAGGAGTTACATCATCAGTGGCAGCCCAATTACTAAAGAGTATAGCCCCAGGAACCGGAAGAATCAGTAGCAGGGATGGTGGTGGCGGGGGACGCAGGGGTGACAGTGGTGCTGTGCATACTTGCAGATTATGTCAAAAGATCATCACCACCATTGAAGTTTACTTCAACTTTAGGGCCTCGGTCACCAAATGCGTTCGGGCTATGCTGGCACAAACACAAGACAATTTGCCTTGTCACAGGTGGGCACAGGCCACACCTCCATGTCGCAGTGGTATGCGCTTAAAAAAGTAAGGCATGCAGCACTTTTTATAGGCCTCGTTCACACCAGACGCAGTGCGTTCCAGGCCGATTCTGGCCAGAACGCACTGCATCGCATTGCAGCCGGCACTATGTTGTGGGGCAGGAGGGGGTGTGGCGGTTCATTGAAGTGAATAGCGCCATAGCCACGCCTTCCGGCCGCAATGCGTTCAGCTGCACGGGATCGCAAGGCACATTATAGATCAAAATAGTGCTTGCAGCATTTTGTCGGACTGGACCGGACCGCAGGCATAATGTGCCTTGCGATCTCGTGCGTCCGATCGCATTGCGGCCGGGGGGTGGCTACGGCGCATTCACTTCAATGGACCGCCACGCCCCCTCCTGCCCCACAACATAGTGAGCCGGCCTCAATGCGATGCAGTGTGTTCTGGCCAGAATCGGGCCGGAACGCACTGCATCTGGTGTGAACAAGGTCTTATGCGTACTGCAGTGCGACGTGGTACTACCGCATCGCACTGCGGTGTGCCCATAGAATTGAATGAAATGTCACATTTCAATAAAGTTCTAACAAAAAAAAAGAAACAGTGTGATGCGGCACGATCGCGCGTACACTAGCAGCTGAGTGCTTGAGCGTGGCTGCTGGTTTGAACAAGAAAAAAGAAAAGGCTAGTTGCACTCCTTACCGGTATGACCCCGTGATCGGGGAGGGGTGCTCGGAATGACTGTGTATGGCGCCGCCAAATACAGAAAATTGCAGAAACGTCACCAGCACACCAAATCCTTATAGGATCAAAGTTCGTAGATTTTATTGCAAACTCATGTCAGTTACACAAGCGCTTTCGGGGCCACACAGGGTCCCTTCATCAGGCATTGCAATGAGGCTCATTGGCAAATTAGGCTCACTAGCAAATTTGCTGGTGTGAACAAGCCGCATTCACACAAGGCTTTTATTTCCAGCTGTGGATTTCTGCAGCAAGGATCAGTGGATTCCGATGGCACGTATATCAACGTGTTTGGGACAACTGCGGCTGCTCAGGGATGACAGGCTGACAGGAGCCGCATTGTTCATGGCTTTCCGTATGTTTCTGCACATCCGGCCGCTACGTGCGGCTAGGGACAGATGACCGGCCATAGATGTAATCTATCTGCGTCCAGGGTCAGACGTCTATACCTAGCTGCAGGTAACCGCCAGATATGCTGAAACATGCGGATAGTGGTGAACAGCTGCGGCTCCTGTCAGCCTGTCATTGCTGAACAGCCGAAGTTGTCCCGAACCACCTGATATTTGTGCAACGGGTGCGGAGCACCTGTCAGGTTTGTACCTCTATCCAGGGCTCCAGACATTTCCTCCCATTTAGGGCCCATTTACACTGCAGTGCGCACATTTTTGGGGTATTTTTTATATTTTAGTATATATCATTTTAGCTTTTCCAACCCCTTCCAAGTGCTTGGCAAATGGCAGATCAAAAAGTATGCTACAGCTACAAGACCAGGTTGATGCCCAAGTGGCGGGCAGAACGCTAATTGCAGTGTTTGGATGACTGTTTTTTAATGGCTCGTCCAGGAAAACAATCCAGTCACATTTACAATGCTGACTGCAAGAACACAATCCCTGGAGTTTTGGCACCTCTGCATGACAAATGTCAGTGCCTGCAACAAATGAATGTGTGTGTCGGAAACACAAAGATGATGTTTCACATGGAGGCATCGTGGGAGCGTGGGCAGAATGGAGGCTGGAGTGTCCATACCATGGAGCCCCCAGGCTGCACAGTGCAGCTAGTTGCTATGACGCTGTCTGCTGCACAACAATGTTGGTAGCTATGATGCTGTCAGCTGGACAGCATCATTGGTTGTTATGGTGCTGTGCAGTCAACAGTATCATAACAACCAAGAATGCTGTGCAATGAACTACATCACAGCAACCAATTACTCTCTGGGCCCAAAGGGTACTATTAACCGATGACACTGTGGGCCAGCAGCATCCAAGCAACCAATGAAGCTGTGAGCCAACAGTGTCCTTGCAGCCAATGATGTTCTCAGCCAAAAGTATCCTAGCAACCAATGACCCTGTAAGTCAATAGTGTCTTAGTACCCAAAGACACTGTGGGCATACAGTGTCCTAGCAACCAATGACGCTGTGAACCAACAGTATCCTAGCAACCAATGATGCTGTGAACCGCCAGTGTCCTAGCAACCAATGATGCTGTGAGCCGACAGTGGCTTAGCAACCAATGATGCTGTGGGCCGACAGTGTCATAGCAACTAATGACAGGGTTGATGGAGAGCTGCACTTCATTGCCTCCAGTTGTATTAACTCCAGAATGGCTGCACTTATTAATTAATTTCTCACAGCCATAGGGACATTTTGGAGAATGTCACAAATAGGAACTTGTCTCACGTGTCCATATTAACTATGCAACTGTTGCAAACTCTTTATTAATTTGGCGCAAGAGTTGTACATACAGCCATAATGCCAGATTTGTGTCGCAAAGCCTTCAATAAACCGCCCTTTCAATTAGTTGGATGCCCTTCTGTGGATCTGTATACTAGCCCTACGTCAGTGACTCGGGAAATATTTGTAGCCAGGATGGCATGCCAGCCAGGAAATCAGAATTTTCAGAAGATCAGCAATCGCAGTCATATGTTTCTCTTGACAGGTGTACTACAACCAAGTCAAACTACAGCTAAAACTTTATTCTAGTTTTGGTAGAGTGGGTAAAAGTGAGAGCCCTTTATTGCGGTCTCTGTCCCCAGTGAGGGAATTGTCTTTCACTTCCTGTATGACACCCATCAAACAAGCAGGACATAAGGACAAATCTCCCCCATGGGGATACAGATACCAATAACATCTCAACACAGGTTTTAACTCTTCCTCAGTCTATCCATTTTTATTTTCAAAGCAGTTGCGGGCTACAGTAGGGCTTTAAAGCAGAGCCATGTCATCAATTAACCCTGAAACCTTCCTCGCTAGCCCCCTGTCAGATATGTGGTTAAAGAAATTACAGAGAAGCTAATTAGCTCGCCCCTGCTTCACTTTGCCGTTGCGAT